GAAAAGTACTTAAAATACACACTCTTATTTATGGAAATTAGTTTGTATCAAAAATATGTGCTTCACATTTTCTTTGGTAGTAGGAAATTGCTTTTAAGCCGAGTTTAAGTAATGAATCTAAGTTTCTCATTGTTCATCTCGGGGTCAATTTAAGCTCAAATAATTGAAATTCCAAATCTCATCCTAAGTCGTTCTAGACAATTTCATGGAAAGAATAACTCGAGTTGTTTTTTTCCAGCATTCCTTTGTGTTTGGATAGTAGATATAATCACAAATGACTTGATGAATACCGGAATGTAAAGATGTCCTGTTTCAGAATTCGGCATTTGAAACACACAAATGTGATACTTTATGCAAAGACTTTGCCAGAAATGTAACTCACATCACATTGTAGATTCGAGTTGCTTTGTTTCAGATAAAAAATAGTTCCCCATTTGCAACCGAAATACTGTGCTTCAACATGACTCACATCCGTCTGAAAATGTGTAGCTCTGTATGAAAAAATTACAGAGATATTCAACTAACACTGAACTGGCTTTAATTAACCTCATTATACGCTCGGTTTTAATCCTATTGCGACTCATCGTAAAATTTGAGTTAAGTACTCTTTTATATGCTAATTATGTACATATGCTATCAAAACATGGATAAAAACCGAAATGATAATTGTGGAATTGTGGAAGTCGACAGTTAATTAATGCATGCGGATGTTGATGTTGGTAAATTTACAATACAATAATGCCTCACACATTTCTTTGTGATGCTAAATCTAAACAAGATCTTTTTCAAGAGGTGTTTGCCCACATTTATTGCAATTTAAATAAAGTCAAACCCTTAAAATTGTGATATTTGCCGTGAATACACAAGCTTATTATCTATAAAACTATTCCAAGAAACTAATTTAGAACTATGAAATACAACATGTTATGCAGTGTTATTCAAAGAAGAGGATGAATCATCATTAATGATAATCTTGGACCTCAATGCACTCTAAAATTGGTGAAATATGACGTTGTTTATTCAGTTTGTAGACTAAATTAAAGCACAAATAAACAGTTGTGAAAATTATTATCATTTGTTTTTATTTTAAAGAATAAATCGGAAAAAAAATAATCACTAGAAAGTAAAAACATTGTTCAACAAATTTTCATTGTTTCGACGCTTGTTGAGACGCTGAATGCGAATTTAAAGTCCGTTTCGATTTTGGTTTTAAGAAAATCGCACTTATATAAGTTCTAAAGTGGCTTTTTTTATGTTTATTGCCACTTTTCTGTTTAGTAAAAGAATTCTTATGGATTTTTCTTGTAGGAATTAAGTTTGAAACCCATTATTGTTGCAAAGGTTTCGTAAATGCAAAATTAAAAAAAAAACAGTTGATGCCTAACTGTTTTAAAGTCTAATTTTGGTCTTAAAATGTAATAAAAACAAAAATACATATTTCTTTCTATGCAAGTATTTTTAGTAAAATATTCGGTTTAATATCTTATTACGAGTATTTTACTGGTTTAAAATTGTCAAAAATTTTTATTAAGTTATCGATACCTATACTAAATTCTTTTGTACCTACTATTAATAGTTATTTTTTTTCAATAAAAATCGCAGTTTGTGAAATTATTATTCCAATTTTAAGCATCAATTTTCTCCAAAGTTTATTATACCTACAGGATGTTCCTTTAAGTTTAATTATATGCTCTGACAAATTTTAAAATAACAATTTCATTTCTCAATTAGAAAATATTAATGATTATTTTTCTACCTTTCACTTTAAGATCAAAGTCCTTTGTGCCAAGATAATAATTTTGTACGTATTTACGAGTATTACACGTATATTTACATTTGGTTTATCAGTGGAAATAATATTTATAGTACGTTTCTCTTTATCTAAACACACATAAAGGTATTTTTATGTTCGTGTTTTGAGATAATTTCAATTAAAACACATTGATTGATTAATAACAGGCTCTGCGATAAAAAAATTCTAGTTAATATGATATTTCATAACTACAAATCAAAATGCTCAATAGTCAATAGTCGGATTTTTCCCACAGTCAATTAAAATTTTTCTACCAACCACAGATGTAAAATATTCCAAAGCTCCTATTCATCCCCCAAATAGACTTATTGCCGCTTTTATCCCTAGCAGGTTTCAAAATAAAGAATAACGCCTTTGTGCTATTGTTAATTTTGAAACGTCTACTTCATCAAAACGCCATTAAATTTTATACACTTGTTCGTCCTAACAGGTATGAAAAAAAAATCAAGTACATACAATTTTTTATTTTTAAACCAAGTTTACAACTTTCAAAAAATACTAAAAAAATTATTCTGATTAAATTACTAAACAAAGTTTCAGTATCAGTATCAATATCAAGAACTAAGCAGATGTATCCCCACATTTCTGCAAAATCATGATATAATCAAAAATTGTAAAGAATGGGTAAAATCGGGCCCTTGTGGCTTGAAAGTCATGTGAACTTCGAGAATAGAATGACATCAGACCGACCTTCGAAGAAAAGAACACTTTTAGCGGCACGACTACGGCACGGCGCCTTCCACGAACAAAGCAACAGTGAAACGAAATAAACAATGAAGTATAACCAAGTCGACTGTAAAGAGACAGTGCCAAATAATAGAGTCCGGCAAAAATCACAATGGCACCGTGGGGAGCCACTCGATGTAGGTGTGTAGGACAAAACGATCTACAAAGCACCACAGGTAGTTGAATCTTTGAAGAATAGCTGAACCTGGCCTGTCTCTGATTACTTACCTACTCGTAAATAGCGCCTCTGAGAATAGACAAGTGCCACAACTCGTAAGAAAGCACAACTCATTTCCAGTCAAACAGAAATAATTAATTGATTGTTTAAAAATGATCACTTCGTTATGATAAAATATCATGAATGTAAATAAAAATAAAATTTTGAAAAATTATCGGTAAATATCAGAGGTAAATCTATCAGTAAATTGGACGGTTTCTTCGCGTGACAATATTCAGTGCACGCATTATATTTTAACATAAAAACAGATACGAAATTCTGTCACCAAAAATTATAACAAATAGGGATAAATACAGTTTATGACTTTTTATAGATGTCATTCTATAAGATAAGTTAAACTGGTAGCCATTTAGAAGTTTGGAAACAAATAATGATGCATTATTTCAGGGTTTTATTTTTTTCTATTGAGCGCTTTTTAAATTGAATTCATTATTTATAACATTTGACAGTTAAAATTTTTGACATTTGACGTGTGCGGTACCCAAGTTGCTCGAAAATAGATTAAATTGCATTAGTTTCGGTAAAATCCGTTGAACTGCAACAATTTCTCACTTAAAAACGACGGTCTATAGTCACTGATGGCCAAAGTTTTGCATAAAATATCGCCAAAAAAACAGTGTCACAAAATTGCATTTTTCTATTTTGGGTCTGAAAGAAAGCATATTTCGATACCAAAATCGATGATTTAATGAACCATTTCAACATAAATTCCGGTGCTGAAATAAACTAGTACAATTTATTTTCTAGAGGTTGGTAATGGTAACAAAATTTAGAAAAATATTTGAGACTTGTCACTTCGAAAATCGATTTTTTTAGATTATTACTAACCACCACCTTATTAGGGCAAAAGTTCTTAAATTTTGAAAAATTGATTTTTATGTTAAAAAAGTACTTAAAATAAAAAAAATAAAAAACTTATTCATTAAGTAATTTGTGGGAACTCGTTCTTCATAAAACTCGCGCTTCGTTGCTCGTTTCATAAACCTGAATTCGTTCCACAAAACTTGCCTTACAAAATGCGTTCTTTAATATAGTATTATGTAACTGTTTTCAGTTACACAAAATGCACATTGTGAAATAGAAAAAAATATGTAGTTGCTTTCATCTCGTATTGTTTTTTTTAAGTAACTTCTAACTACTAGTTGTAAAAAAATTGCCCATTCTATGAAAAATTAATAGTAGATTGTTTAACAAGTAAAGAAAACTCACTTTTCTTACGCGTTGAATACGTACTTTTTTCGTGTACTTCACGACTTCACGAAAATTATGATTTTAAAAATAGAAATTTTCTCGTATTATATTAGCAAAGTTATCCGTGTAAGGAAGTTTTGACAACTGTTTGGCACTTCTCAATACGAAACGTCAGATTATTTTTAACAGATTTAAAGCAAGTTTAAACCTTATTGAGTCTAATTCGAAGAATAAAATGTTGTATTCCACTCGTTTGAGTGTAAATCGGACGCTTTATTCCACCTCGTGGAATAAACACGCAAAAGGTGTCGCTAACAAGAAAAGTGTTGCTAACAAGTCCCACTTTTCGTAATTATTTTGGGTTAAACAATGTTATCAATTTCTATTAAGTACACGAAAAAATATTTTAAAATATGTGGATATGTTGTAAAGTACCTAGGTATACCTAGAGAAATTTTCGAAATTTCGTTCTCTACAACATTAATGCCTTAAACATTTTTCTTCTCAAATAAACAATTACAGAGTTCTTCTTTTTTGCTTTAAATATTCCCGAAACAAGTAATACATTTTTTAAACATTAGGTAAAGGCTAAACCTATCCGGCGCGCAAATGATGAGTAGGATTAAAGTAACCCTTTATTAACAGGTTAAGAAAACTACCCGCGGGCGCTAATGACGAATCACCGTTTTTTTATACCTCACGCTCCCCTATCATTGCATAACCAATTAAATAATAAAATAAATAATTGTTTGTCGTGATCATTACACCCTACCTTGTTCCTGATTGTTCATAACAATTTATTAAACTATCTACACATAAAACTACTTTAATCGTTTAAATAGTTTGTCTATCTAAAGCTAAAATCTGTTTCACCTGTCCTATTTAACCATTCTGCTATTATATACGTTAGAAGAATTAGATATGAGCAAGCTTTACTACGTAAAGATACTAATTAAACACCATCTAAGAGAATTGACCTTGTTCCTGATTCGTAAATAAAAAGGGGGACTGCATATTATCTCAGTACATCAAGTCGAATTACCGAGTGATAGTGTTGAGCTTCAACTGTAAGTATTTTTTTTTACTTTAAAGTAGTCAATAGTTCTTGTAGATGTCATCCGATAAAATAGAAAACTTAGACAACCTCATCGCTGAGATCATTCCCAAGAATTATGTCTTTGTTGATGCTGAAATAACAAGACTAACAGCTTCTGGTGACAATTATGGCAGTCTTTTACTAGCTGTGGACATCACTGTAAAAAATGAAAAAGAAAACAAACTCATCCACGCAGTAGCTAAAAGACCTCCTTCAAACAAACTCGTGCAAGAGCTGTTTAATAGTCAGTACACTTTTCCTAACGAAGTCGGTTTTTACCAGACTATTATCCCATATTTGAGGCAGTTTCAACGTGAACAAGGTGTCACGGATTTGATTAGTTGTTTTCCCGATTTTTACGCAGCGAGGTTATGTAAAGATGCAACAGGAAGGGTTGATGAAAGCTCAGTATTGCTAATTAAGAATATTAAAAAGAATGGTTTTCAAACTTTGAACAGAACAGTCGGGTTTAGTCTTGAACAAAGTCGATTCATTTTGGGAAAAATGGCAGAAATGCATGCAACAACTGTTGCATGGAAAATACTACGACCTGAGCAATTTAAATTGAAATTGGAGCCGTTTTTACAACAATACAAAGTGTTTGAGATGGATGAAGAGAATAATCGAAAAATGATAAACGTATCATTAAATGTTGTGAAAGATGATGACGTCTGTAGAAAATACTTACCTCAAATTGAAGAGTTTCTCTGGAAGAATCTTCAATTCTGTATCACGAAAAATATTAAAACGAGTTCGCCGAGTCATTTTCTAACCTTGACACATTGCGATCTGTGGGTCAACAATATTATGGTCAAAATTGATAACAACACAATCACTGATGTAAAATTTGTCGATTTTCAGTTATATGAATACACATCGTTTGTAAGAGATGTTGTTTTCTTTATTTTCAGCAGTATTCAAACATCGGTCTTGAAGGAAAGTTGTGACGATCTTCTGTTACATTATTTTGATAGTTTGATAAAGCACTTAGTTTCCATGAAATGTGACACTAAACTCTTCACTTATGGTTCATTTTTAAATGAAATCAAAAGTGTAATACAGCAGGGTGAATTTTTCCATGTCTTAACTATGTTGCCTCCAATTTTTGCTGCTGATAAAGATACCAAGGACGTAGAAGCGCTCGAACTTCATGACGTTATTTTTCATGAGAGTGAAGTCACTGATACGCATCGAGAGAAGGCTTATTTTATTGTAAAAGAATTCATACGAAGAGGGTGGTTGTTCCAAGACGACTCTTGAAGTAATACACTGTTAAGTTTTTTGATTACAGAACAATAACTAATGTACAAAATGTTGTATTTGTAAGAATCTCAATTTGTAGTTACTCGTTTCAATTTTAAAACCTATGTACGAATATTTAATTAAATATAGGTACCAAAAAGTAGACCAAATCTTCCTGTTTATATTTGTAAATATAAGAAAAATTTTGATAGGAACAAGACATTAGAGGCCAGAAAACAAATTAAAATTTTCATTTGAGATTGAACTACTAATTATTTACTTTAATTTTACTTTAATTAATTTGAGTGCAATTAAATGTTGGGTAAACCGGCAGTAAGTAAAGTAAACTATTTTCCTTATTTTTGAGACACTCACGTATTGGTATGAATAGAGTTCCTTTGTCGCTGCAAGTGAAACTATAAGTAAAAATTGTTTTAAAATTTGCACATACCTCTACAAGCAAATGAAAAATAACCAAAATCAAATTTCTATATTTTTTCTGGAATAAATTAATCTTATCTTATCTTATTGGACTAGAATGTATACATTTTTCCTCAACTATGAAAACTGGTTAAACATAAAATCCCCACATTATTTGAGTAATTAATTTTATGGTAAGAAATAGTTTCAAGCAAAGCAAAATAACCATAAAATGTTATAATAATAATAAATACAAAAATTTAAACAAGTAAAATTAAAGAGTGGTCTTATTTAAAAATAAATAAGTTAAAACAAAAAAAAATTAATTAAAACATGCTTTTTCTGGGATTTGTGATTTACCTACATGCACTCAAAATTTCTTACATCCCATTTAAATACAATTTTTTTTTTATTAATAGAACTTAATTCAACATACCTACTATTAGGGTCTATTCTGTAAATACTTATTAAAAAATAAAGGTACCTTTAAATTTAAATATTTAAACCCCCAAATTTAAATAAGCTATTCTGTATGCATAAAATTAAATGCTCATTTAAAAATATATTTTTTAAACGGACCCTTTAAAATATTCGGCTTTCATCGTATTAAATAGAGGAAATGTTATTATTTTGTTATAAATGAACTATTTTTGCTGGTTTTAAATGATGAGCCGACTACGAAAAAATGTCAAGCCAGTTTTATTTGTCATTTTCCGTAAAAAACGTTCAAAATGCTTAAAGAAAGATTGGCACAAATGACGAAAGGACAGAAAGAGGTGCACATAAGGTATGCACATTTTAGATTAAACTCATTCTAAAGAATAATCCAAAATAAGAAGATTCAGAAAAGACAAAAAAATGAGAATTGTTGAGCCTCAGTTTGCAGGCATAGCAAGAAATCGAAAACGAAAAATGTTTGAAATCCTTGGTCAGTAATATTTTTGCTACAATAATATGGTTGACCTGGATATAAAGGATGTTCTTCTGGGGAAAAAATAATTTTAATATGTGCACAGTCAATAATTACAATCACAACTTCATTAATAGGAAATTTTATCCAAATATTAATTAATCCTTGAATAATTGCATTGGTCACCTCATTAATATTCATACTTAAATTAGGCTAGCTCTGTGACATCGAGTAACTATGTCCTATTCAAGTAAGGTAACTACCATGCACAAAAAAGTACAATGCTCTAAGGTGCACTGGTATTCTAGTATTTCGTTGTGCTCTTTGCATAACCTGCATTGACTAAATCTTAAAAACAAAATTTATTTAAACGAAATAAAAGCATCATTCAAAGTACATAAATAGATTTGTGGTATCTCGTAATTGACGCTGATAAATTCTATAAATGCTACCCACAAAGTACCCTTTAAAAAAAAAAATATAAAGGTGAAAAATAAAGGGGGTATTTAAAATTTTAACAGGAAAGATACATACAGAATAGCATCACAAATTGACAGCGATTATAAAGTTATAAAAACAATAATTCACACAAAAATTGGTGTGTATTAACATTGATGGTGAATTATAGCAAGTCATACACAAGATAACGTAGACTTACCCAGACATTATCGCGTAATTTGAATCTGATTGGTTGAATTTCAGAAATTTGAAAGATTTGATTGGGTTAAATTCCGTGACGTCACGTTAGAAAAAATGTATATTTGTACGACTAAAAGTCCCTTTGTTGTGTAAACAAGTGTAAAGGACGGAAAAAATGATGACGTAGAATTTGGTAATACAGGGTGTTTCACATAACTTTGCGAGGCTTGCGCCTAATGTACGCACCCAAATATACAAAAGTCACAGAACAGAATAAACTAGGAAAGATTATCCACTTTTCCAAAATTTGTAATCGAGTTGGTATCGGAATATGTATTATTGACTACATCTTCAGGCGTAGGCCTCGTAAAATTATGTGAAACACCCTATATTCGAACAAAGGCCCTTTACACCGGAACTGTTACGAAATAGTTTTTGTGCCGTTTTCGAGAAAATTATTACAATAACGAGTCAGTCTTAGCTGAGCTCTCGTACGAATCACTTGTCCGAATAAATTATAACTTATTATTTGGTGGTTCTGTGCGAAATCGTATTGAAGTGGGGGTGTGTTGTGTTGTTTCGAGTGTCTAATTGACATTTAGTAGTGCGCGATTTTTAAAATTTCGAGTGATTAGTGAGTG